TCCTAATTTTTGACAATAAAGCCAACTCTCATGTAATGCGTACATTTTCTGTTCTCTATGAGATGAGGTCATGAATCTAGCTCACTGGTTATGGCAAAAAATCACTAAAGGACCACTGACAACAATTATGTGGATTCAGACTAAATTCCTTGATTTCTCCCCCAAAACTATCATGTTATCCATCAAAAACCACTTTTAGAAACCCAACTTCTGAAAATAATAGTAAAGTTCCAGTTCCATATAAGCGTAACTGTTTGGGACACACTAAGACCACGCTATTTTGCTCCTGGTCAGAGAATTCAAGACCCAAATAGGAAACGCCGCTTAATAGCCTACATAATTCCTAAGAGATATCTTCAAGTGATGAGAACGCATGGAAGTTTCAGTTTCTAAATCCTGCCTTGTCCCCAGTATGGTCTATTTAACTTGGAATGGATTAAAAAGAACTGGCCTAGTCTAGGTAGGTGGCTGATAAAGAGGTCTATTTCAGGATTCAGGGAAAGTATTTCATTATAAAAGTGAAGGTATTGGCGGGCGCGGTGGCTCACACCTATAATCCCAGCACTTTGGAAGGCCATGGCGGACAGATCACCTGAGGTCAGGAGTTTGAGACCAGCCGACCAAAGTGACGAAACTCCATCTCTACAAAAAATGCAAAAATTAGCTGGGCGTTGTGGCGCACACCTGTAATCCCAGCTACTCAGGAGGCTGAGGCAGGAGAATCGCTTGAACCTAGGATACGGAGGTTGCAGTGGGCCAAGATCACGCCACTGTACCCCAGCCTGGGTGACAGAATGAGACTATGTCTCAAAAAAAAAAAAAAAAGTGAAGATATGTTCTTTTTCAGTCTGTATAAATAGCACCAAAATTGCAAAAGTGGAGAAAGCAAATAAACCAAAGTAGTTGAGATTATACTACTCAAGGTATATTAGCATCACTGTGGAGACAAGGCAACTTCTCTAGGAACTTCACTTAAGAGGATTTTCTTTTTCCAAAACTTCAGTCTAAAAGTGGCCAGAAACTAGATATAGAGTCTGGTGGCCTAATATTATAAACCTAGGAAAGATAGATATGAAAGTATCTCTTGAAATATATTTTGTGAAAAAAATTGGATGTAAGAAAATCCAGATATCTTAGCTGCTTATTTATTTATTTATTTATTTATTTATTTATTTTTCCCCAGCTAACCTAACTTGAGGCATTTAAACTTACTCACTTTGGGTGCTCCAGCGCTCGAACTTACATTTGCTATTTCTCTTTTCACCTTAGTTCTTGCTAAGACAAAAGATCTAATCTCCTGAATATAAGGAGATTGCTATTCTACAATTTAAATTTTATAAAGATTAATATAAAAACTAATAGAAAATCCTTTATCTTGAGACTTTACCAAGAAATGTTCAGGCAACTAATTTTCATTAATAGTTATACTTGAGGAATTTTTCTTTCGCTATGTTTAAAAATTTTATTATAGAAAAATTTCTGACATATGCAAAATAAGCACAATAATGGAATGAGATACTGCATGCCATCACCCAGTTTTAAATGTATCAGCATTCAGCCATTTTTTTCATCTATCCCTCTAATTACTCTCCACTCAATTGTAATTATTACTATAACTTACAGTTATGATTTTTTTGTTGTTTTTTTTTTTGAGACGGAGTCTTGCTCTGTCGCCCAGTCTGGAGTGAGCAGCGCCATCTTGGCTCACTGCAAGCTCCGCCCCCCGGGTTCCCGCCATTCTCCTGCCTCAGCCTCCCGAGGAGCTGGGACCACAGGTGCCGCCACCACGCCCGGCTAGTTTTTGTATTTTTAGTTGAGACGGAGTTTCACCGTGTTAGCCAGGATGGTCTCGATCTCCTGACCTTGTGATCCTCCCACCTCGGCCTCCCAACGTGCTGGGATTACAGGCATGAGCCACCACGCTCAGCCTACAGTTGTGATTTTTGAGGGAAAATTTACATACATTGAAATGAACTAATCTTAACTATAAAATTTTGACACAAATTACAAAGCAGATGAACTCACACCCCTTTTGATGTAGAACATTTCCGTAACTCCAGAAAACGCGAATATATTCTCTCACAGTTTCCCACCCGACTCACCAAAAGTGACCACCGTTTTGACTATTTAAATGTCCAGAAGATCTAGTAGAAAGAGTAGGAGGAGTGGATTAGAAGTGGATTATGAAAGGAATTCTGAAAGTTCCTCTGTTTCTTGTTGGTTCTCAAGGTTTTCTAGTCATTTCATTAACACATTACATAATATATAGGAGTGCATATTTTGAAATATGTAAAATGAAGATATATGTGTGTGTGTGTGTGTGTGTGTGTGTGTGTATAATGTCCAGTGGAAGGTTTTGAAGAGGAACAATTAAAAAATAACGAGAGAGAGAAAAAGAGAAAAAGATGGGAAGAGTAAGTGCCAACATTCCCAGTCCACCTTTAGTTATGTCTCCAGTGTCAAATGTTTGCACTATACTCTTGCTCCTCAAAATATGGTCTGTGGGCCAGCAGCAGACTCTCAGACTCCACACCCTAACCTACTGAATGAGAATCTGCATTTTAACAAGATCATATGTGCGTTGCATTTTGAGAAGGCTATTCTTAATCACCATGTAATATAACTGTCATGCAAAAGAAAGGAAAATGAATAGAACCTGAAAGAAGTATACACATGGTATCAGCAAATAAACTATGCAATGTAAAGAAAATTTCTGTTGACTCTATAACTGTGTAATGCATCGTTTTTTAAAAAATATAGAACGGGAAAGTAGAGATACATTTTAAGTATCTTTCCTATTCATTTCTTTGGGGAAGAAGGTCAGCCTAAAATATGAGAAAAGATACTATGATTGGCTCTTTTCAATGTTTTTTCTGTTCATCTCAAGGCTTCTGGTAACCCTATAATCCATCACATTAGCCAATATTAAAATCAACAAATTTACACTTTTTAAAATTTTACTTGAATGAGTTCATTAACATTTTATGATTTATACAATTGCTATCAAATTTTATGTGTCCAATTAATATTACATTAAATGCTACTTTTGTAAGGGAAACAGCTAAAAGAAGCAGATGTGTGAGTTCTTAAAGTGCAGCTGTTATAAAAAGTAAACAACCAGCAGTAATACTTTGGAGTAATTTCTCGTATATTGTGCAGCATAATTATAAGAATCGTTTGTCAAGAGATCGATATTTTCTCACTCTGACACTGCTTAGAGCTAGGAACAAGTAAACATTGGGCACAGAGTTATAAAGAAAGGAAATAAATGTAAAAATGAGGCAACATATTTGTATAAATCTATGAAACTGAAAAGTAAAAGAACCTTATAATATTTTAAATATAAGCAAAGAATCATAAATGCATCTGAATTGTTCTGACATATTTCTGCTGAAAAGTCATTGTGTCTTTTATTTAACATTTTTTAATGGAATTGCACCTAATTTTCAAGTGCCAAAATCTTAGTATATGACTTTAGTAAAAATGAGATGAGATATTTCACAGGACACACGTTTATAAAAAATTCTGCATAGAATTCTGTATCCTGCATGATTTACTTTCAGTTAAAAGATGGAATTGAGATTTCATGCTTCTGTTCTCCTTTCTAAATGTTAGAGATTTTCTTACTCTTCAGAATTGCCTAACACACATAAAACATTTTGAGGTAAAAATCTTAATTAGGTCATTTTCCCCTAATATGTGAATCCAAATATAAACACATTTTCAAGAACAAGACATATCATGTCTATCTATTTTATGTTTTTCTAATGGTTATTTTATTTATCTTTAAAATCACTCAATATGGTAAATTCATACTTCTGAAATAAGTGATAGTGAACCATGCATATGTCTATTAATCAAATATTACATGCAAATCCAATCTTTGCACAAGGCACAAAGATTGAGGAACTGAATTTATTCATTTTTGTTATTAATATATTTTAAAATGTTTTAAAAATAAATTACTTAATATGTGTTAAAATCAAATATTTTATGTGAAAGGACTTATTTCCTGACAATATCAAAGTTTATTTGATACTGAATGATGAAAAAAATGACAGAAAGCATAAGAAAATTGAATACATTTTTCTATCAACTAAATTTAAGATGTTGTTATAATGATACCTTAACCTTATCCTATCAGTTTGATTTCTAAACCTTTAAAATTATCCTCTTCTTATCAGCTACTTCAGACTTGAGAAATTACAAATTAAGCAAAGTATTATTAAACTTCTTTTTCACAGAGAACAAATAATTCTTTAGTGCACCATTTAACGATGGATCTAAATCATGCATAGTAAGTTTAAATATCGATAAATGAATTCACATCTTGTAGAAAGTACTCTTATTTATGCTGAAATAAATTCCTCAGCCAAGTGAAGAGCATTCATCTCAATGTAAATTTCACTGCAAATATATACTTAAGTATTCAAAATATTCAGATGACTGTTCTCCTTTTCTTTCCAAAGATGACAACTTTCTCATCCTAAGTATTCTTTAGCAATTTATGTTCACCTCACATTGTTCATGTTAAAGTTATATTTCAGATGCATTGTGCTTTCTTTTAAGCACAGCCATATGGTTGTAAATTTGCCCTTCCCAACTGTGCTTGTGGCTCAGAAAATTAAGATTATGTTTTAGTAAAACTTACAGCTAAAAGAAAAGAAAGACTACTTTTGTAAGATGATATACATTGTTTTAATGGAGTATGTAAGAGTATCTTGTGACAGATTATAAGCTAGGTAAGCCTGAGACCAAAGAAATAAAATTGCTGCGCCCTACCCTTTTATTGTCTTTCTGGATCTAACCCTTAGAATTTATTTTTAAAGTAAGTATATTTTTATTTAATTGAATTGAAATAGATTAAATGTTAAAATCACAAATATTTGCTTCTTAAAAATTGATAAAGATAGGGAGAAGGTGTTTCCATTATCTTGAATAAATGCAATCTGTTTTATTTTGAAAGGTGTCACATTTTAAAATTCATATTTTATTTTCAGATGTAAAATATTTAAAAGAAGAGGATGCAAATCGCAAGACATTCACTGTCAGCAGCACACTGGACTTCCGAGTGGACCGGAGTGACGATGGAGTGGCCGTCATCTGCAGAGTAGATCACGAATCCCTCAATGCCACCCCTCAGGTAGCCATGCAGGTGCTAGAAATACACTGTAAGTAAACACTCCTTCCCCCTCCTTTATCTCTGCAGCAAATTTCTCCATCTGCATCTCAAATCATTTCAAAACTACCTGAAGTCATAGTAAAGGTGCAGTAAAATCCACAGCAAAATGAAGTAAAACTACACTCGCTAGTATTAATCAGGTTCAAAGGAAAACACTCCTTGCCTGAGTTTCATTTGTAACAGTGAGGAACATTGAAGGAGATGTGTAAGGTTAATACCCCTATGTTTCAAATTGTGGCTTTAGGTAGGTGTGCACGTAAGGGTGGGGGAGAAAAAGTGGTAATTTGGGCAAAATCACTGAGAACTGGTAATCTGAGAGGGCCTTGATGAACAGTGTTATATTAAAATAACTTTATCCTATGCAAATGTGGCTTCTCAGCTATGCTTTTTAAAGTTAGACTAGTTTTACCTTCTATGTGGTATATACTAATGCTGTATAAATATAGGAGCATTTTTTTTTTTTTTTTTTTTTTTGAGACGGAGTCTCGCTCTGTCGCCCAGGCTGGAGTACAGTGGCGCGATCTCGGCTATAGGAGCATATTTATTATGTTTTCTTCATCATCATTATTCACAATCAATAAGAACAAAATTAATTTTGTGAATCTAATAGACCAGGGGCAGTGCTAAATGTTTTGCTGGTATTATGTCATTGAGTACTCATTTACTAATAGTTGCCCCGAGTAGTTACTCTCATTAGTCACAAGATACACACGAGGATTCTGAAGACTATAGAGCCTGAGTCACACAACTAGCAAATGGCAGACTTGTGATCATGGCAGTTTTAGTACTTAGCAAGGTTTTAGTAGACAATTATATATACTAATCAAAATGAAAATGAATGAATTGAAACATGTGAAATAAAATATAAAAGAATAGAGGATAGGAGATAATATGTTCTGAATTGCAGTATTGGATTTTCTAGGTATGGGAGATAATATGTTCTAAATTGCAGTATTTGATTTTCTAGGTAATGAAGATTTTGTTTTCTCTTTCTATTTGTGACAAAATTATAGCTTGAGCTTAGAATTTGTGTGTGATATGCAATTACACCAAATCCTAAAATGCTAAACTCTAAGTACTGTTTCAATATGTTTCATTGCATTTTGTTTTCATTTATTTGTTCAACAAAATTTTTTAGTGGCTACTATGTAATAGGCATCGTTTTGGGCACTCGGGTTACAGCAATGACCAAAACAAACAAAAACACAAATTGAGTTTGTCTCCGAAGTGTTGAAATAATCACCTCCACTATCACCAACAAACTTCATTTCTCTTACAGCCTCCATTCTAGGTAGGGATGAAAATAAATAAATAAATGCAACATATCACATGTTACATATTGGTAAGTACTAAGTACATATTGATAAGCACATGGCTGCAAGGAAAATAAAGGAGAGGAGGGCAGTCAAGAGACGGAAATGGAGATTACGGAAAGCGACTATGTGTGTTGGTGTAATGCAGAGGGAAGGGCAAGCACAAAGACCCTGAGGTAGCATGTTCACTGTTTTTATTTCTAGGAATAGCAAGGGTGCCAGTGATACCGGAGTAGAGTGGACTAGGAGAAAAATACAGAGTGTTAGGAGAAAAGATTGGCGAATTGCCAGGTGAACTAGAATTTTTTGGTTACTTTTTATATGGAAAATATAAAGCTGACTATAATATGCTTATTGTTTAAAAAATTATTTTTAGTTTAGTAGTTATTGAAAATGTTATAATGTTTAAATGATTTCAATTAGGTTAGTTTTAGTAATTTACTCCTATTCTCCTTAAAGCAAATTCAGAAAGAAGCATACTGTGGAGCCCAAATGTAGATTATCTGTCAATTTTGACATTTATTTGTATTTTGGCTTTGGGAAAATTACTGAAACTGGTTGAGCTTTGGGTATAAACTAGAGGAGTCATTCTTGTAGGGATGTGATGATAAGCTAGAGAATTAATTCCTTGAACTTAAGTCAAGTTCATGGCATTTAATAGACTGAATAAATGTCAATTGTCTTCCTTTTCCTATTTCTTTTTCTTACATCAGTGAGTCTCTCAAAATACAAAAATTTTTAAACTATAAATATATAATTATTATTATTATTTTTTTGAGATGGAGTTTTGCTCTCTTGTTGCTCAGGCTGTGGTGCAATGGTGCGATCTCAGCTCACTGTAAGCTCCGCCTCCCAGGTTCAAGCAATTCTCCTGCCTCAGCCTCCCGAGTAGCTGGGATTACAGGCATGCGCACCACCACGCCTGGCTCATTTGTTTTTGTACTTTTTAGTAGAGACGGGGTTTCTCCATGTTGGTCAGGCTGGTCTTGAACTCCTGACCTCAGATGATCCGCCCACCTCGGCCTCCCAAAGCGCTGGGATTACAGGTGGGAGCCACTGCGCCCGGCCGTGTAACAATATTTTTAAAGGATTCAGATCAACAGCATTTTAATTTAAACTCTTTAATATTTACACACAAAGCAAAGTAAAACTAAATTTAAAATAATAGTTGACTACTTAGTTAACTGTAAATTCCAACATATAATTAAATAAAATAATAAAAGTCAGTCATAAGAGCTATGAAGACCACTGCCAGTCACAGATCACCAAAAGTCTACCAATAGTCAAGCAAAACTAGATTTATTTAAGTTGCTATGGCTAAGGAGAAAACACAGCAGATTAATCTCTGGATGGAGGTAAGAAACAGTGAGAAGAGACTTGTTATAGGAGTTAGGCTGTGCTTCTGGATTGTGTGTTCTTAGGATTAGGAGCATGTCAATGATGAGTGTACAAGTAACTTTAACTAAAAAATGAAAATATTGTAGGTTTGTTATTATAAAGAAACAATAGTTAATTATGCAAACTTTTGTGGACATCGAGGGTCCTGGTCTCTGTCTTGTTTCACTCCTGGTTATAAGATGAACTTGTCTTTGTTTTATTCCATGCCACAGTCACAGACTACTTTTATTTGATTACTCTATACATTCTGGAAAATTGTTGAGAATATTTTAGCCCGTATGTCAGCTGCCAAGGTCATTTTCATGACTTTGGAAATCCAAAATGGAAGTATTATACAATTCTTGAGCCTTTTAGCTATTAACCATATTTCAATATGTATGAATAAGTAAAAATTCATGGAGGAAGGCAATTGAATTATCTAATTTTTAAAGAAAGTTTTACATTAAAAATGTTACACTTTTCATGGCTAGCCAATTAAAAATAGCATCTCATTCTATCATGGTTTAATATGTAAATGGCTAGAAGGCAGAAACCAGATCTATTTAAATTATTTTCCTAGCATCTAGCATACCATCATTCAAGTACGCGAAGTTAATTAAAACTAACTGATGATAATGCTAAATGTTTCTTTAAGCATGCAGAACATTCCCCAGAGACTAAATGAGTAGAGGGTGGAAAGGAGACATTGAGCAACAGTCAGCGTCAAAATTAGAGCAAACGGAGCAAATCCATGTGGTCTTCATAAAGATCTTAGAATAATGGCAACAGCATCTCAATGGTTGTTTCCGGAGACAGTAGATCATGGCTGCACATAGATCCACATGTGTAATCTAGATGATATGGAACTTTCCATGAATGAGAAGAGGGAAAGTAGAGCTCAGGCTTGGAAAGGAAGAAGATGGGTTAATCTAGGATTTATGGAGCATAAGTTTAGTAGTTCTCCATTGTCTGACAATATTCTTGTGATGAAAATCCTAAAAGGCTGGCCCAAATGGAGGAACATTTAGCATTTCGGATCCACAGAGATGATACTGTTTTCAGTGGTAAGTCAAAAGAATAAATATATATTCCTACAATAATGGAAACAGCTATGACTATATCTGAAATAAAAATCCTGTGATATTGTAGAAACCTGTTTGGTGAGCAATAAGAAAATTAAAGTTAAGCATACAATGCCAAGAGTATAACGAAAAAAGTATAGCAGGAAGAATTATATTTCAAGAGCTTAACTATGTTAAGTCTATAACCTTGTGATATACAATTTATATGAATCTAACCTGTAAAATGTAACAGAGCAACATTTAAAAAAATAAAATATTAATCACACATTTGAATACTGCCACCACGATGAAAGAGATTTCTTTTAAAACTGAAACTTAAGAAAATGAAAAGCAGAACTTTCACAGTGAATCACAAATGCCTGCAGATTTCACATAATCGGGAAGAGCAAGCTTCACAACTGAGCAGTGGGAAAAGCCACTTTTAAAAATTAATCAATGAAAACTCAAATTCGTCCTCCCATTTTCACACAGATTTCTTTGTAAAATAACTTTTTATCTGTGAGTTAATTTTTAGAAGAACAAATTGCATGAGTCAGATATTATTTAAATCTCAGTAGAAATAATATATCTGCACTCATAGAAATTACACAAAACACAGAAAAGAATAAAATGACTTAATATTCATTTTCTGTATGTATCATTGACAAAAATTACATGAAAAAAATTCTTAATGAAAATGAAAAGCGCAAGAGACAGAAAACTAAAATGTCAGACTGTTGTGTTTTTTTCCTGAAAAAGCATTTTAATATGGTAACAAAGAACTGAAAATATAGAAAAATAAGGGTTCAAATTTTAAAAATGTGTGAATAGTAAAGTACATTTTATATATAATTCATCTCATCATGAAATCTTATGCTATCGTTAATGTTTTTAGTACTTCCTTTAACAGTACTGGGCTTTGCCTATAAAAATGAGTCGCTATTTACACATGAAGGTTATTAATGTTTAAAGCAATAAATAGTTAAAAGAGCTTGTAGAGGAGATCCTGCATGTACACACAAACATTTCGATCTGAACATCAAGGAAAGGAAGGAATGAGTGGCTGAAGGAAGGAAGGAAGGAAGAGAGGGAAATAAGCTGATGTGTTAAAATTGTGTTTAAATGAAATTAATTAGGTTAATAATGAATGAAAATAAGAAATATATCATGTATATTTAAAATAACAGAAAAACGTGTGGGTCCAATTGTTACTAAAATTATATCTTTTTAAGGGGTTA